TTTCTTTTTGGAATGGAGGCTTTACTAAAATCCCTTTTTTTTTTTTTTTTTTTTGTTTGTTTTGTTTTTTATTAAAAGCCTCTATGCAAGCTCTTTTTTTTAAAGAGATGGGGGGTTTGTTTGGTTTGTTGTGGGGTTTGTTTTTAGCAACTACAAATGTTTCCTCCTTTTGAAATCTAGATTTCAACTCCCTATTTCTACTGCATGTTAGGAAAATGGTGGCTTTTCAGGTAAATAAGCATGTGGAAATACTACTGCCAACAAGGTCTTCAGGAATGAACTGTTCATGAATTGATTCACTTGACCTCTGTTTTGCACAACCTTTTTTCCATCATCCTTCTCTCCAGCAATTTTTTACAGATATTTCTGTCTACTAGCTGAGGTGCAAATAGGCATCCCCTCCTAATGCCAGTGGTGGGACTGCTCCACAGGTGGTGTGCAGGAAGCAGCCTGTCATCTGCAATCGAGCAGTCTTAAATCTGTCTTCAGTTGTTCTCCAAATTCTGCCAAACCACTGGGACAACCATATCTTGAAAGTGTCAGGCTGAGATTTTCCATATACAGAAATTTTAGAGGACAGTGATAGTATTTGCCTTCTAAGCAGTCTTCCATCAGAATTGTTTAAGATGGCATATCATGGATAGGAAAAGAGAAGGCATATGTTTCCACGGTTTTCATCAAAGTCATGTCTGATTTCAGAAATTAATGATAAAGTGAGTCAAACCATGGGATGCCAGTGAATTTCAGAAAGTAGTCTCTAACTTAACTGGCTTTATATTGGAAGTCGTTGACTTGGATGTGCTTGCATATCATCTTCCATTTCTGTAAATTCAGATACATTTTCCATGATGATATTCAGATATATGTTACAAGTACTTGTTTCTTAAGTGACACAAAATACTGTTTTTTCTAGGGTGGATACCACTTAAAGTCATTGTCTGAATCCGTCTGCATGACTGTGAAAACTTTGCTTGGAGATCCTGTACTTCAAATAACTGGAGAAATGGCACCTTGCCTAAGGTAAGCATATGAAGAATTTTAGAGCCACCCATGTATTTATCAGAGACTAAAGACATGCATGCTTTGAACATTTTGCTGAAGCAAGGTTTTAATATGATGCTTTACAATATATTATTTTCTGCTCTGGATAACTTGCTTTCAAAAAAAAAGTCTTCCAAGGTACAGTTTTATACACTTTTGTTTCTGAAATTACTTCAAGATGTGAGAACTTAGTGGCTTATAATTTTATGCTATTTATCTTTGGACCTTGTTATCCTGTAGAGATGTATCTGACTCAAGGCCGAGACAATACTGCTGTAATCAAGGCAATGCCAGTTAATAGCAGCCAGCATTTGGGAAAGAATGTAATAGTAATTAATTCTTCAGACTTCAAAGCCACTTCATTGCTGTAGTGCAGCAATAGCTGGAGCTGACCTTTCTCTTGTCAGTGAGAGCTTATGCTGTGTGGAGCCAGTTGTGATGACTCCTCCTGTTTCTGGAATTTGGAGCATCTCAGCCTGGGGTGCGAAAGCACTTGACCTGAACCAAGATAATTGAACTTTGAGACTAAATTCTTTCTGGAGACAGTAGGATTGTGTTTGCACAGTGGTGAATCTGACCTAGTAAAGCATTCTGAACCATGGGCCTGAATCAGTCCCGCATCTAAACAGCACCTTTCTCTCTACCTGTCTGTACTATCTCCTCCACATTTTTGTGTTCTGTCCTCAGTCCCTCTCCCACCTCAGTAGTTGTCCTGTGTTTTTTTTCCAGTAGTAATGCTCCTCATACATTCTGGCAGCAGCTTCTACCAGTTGGCTGCATTGGTTAAAACTTGGAGCTGAGATCAGTCAGGGAAGAGGTGCAAATATACACAGGCTGTCAGCAGCATTGTTTTTCGTAAACTCTGATGGAGCAAAGCTAGTTATTTTGCTCCAAGCACATCTCATTGCCCCTGTATCACTTTTTCTTTACTGATTCCAGTATGTTTGCTGTTATCCTAGGTAATACAGAGTTGATTATGTATTTATCCATTATATCAGTCAAGCTCCTGAACACCTTATGAATAATCTTCAGTAAACAGAATTTCTTCTGGGCTTAACATGACTTGAATTATGTTTGTATAATAGCTGACATTATAGGCCCATTTGCCAGTAGTGCTGCAAATAACAGTGATAATGAAAAAGATTTCAACACAAAGAATAGCAGGGAATGTGATTTACTTGGTTACTGAACAGGTAGTCTTTCTTTTGAGTGAATCTAATGACATCTTTACATTGTGTAGATAAAATGTCTGACAAAGACAAGACAGATGAAATCCTGCCTTTCCTGCAGTCAGGCACAGGTGTGGTCCCTCCAAGGTCAGGGTTGGGATTTCACTCAATGTGTGTAAATGTGTGCACATACTGCATGTGTTCCTCATTTTTTTTGACTCTTGAATCTAATCTTTCCAAGCAATCTGCCCATTGGCTCTCATTCTCTTTCTGTTCTGTATTCTCAGAAGAGACCAGAGCTTGTTCATTTTCAGTTGGATTTTTTTTTGTTTTGCTTTTTCTTTGAGGTAAATTTGTTTCCTTTATTTTCATTACTGCTGATACTGTTAATCCTGCTTCCTTTGTAGTGCTGTTGAATCTATTCAAAATGTGAGAGCAGCACATAAACCTTACTGGAAGTGGTTGATGTATGAAGGTAACTGCTTATCTTTCTTCAAGAAAATGTGATATTGGTAAATGGATTCATACAGAAATTCAAAATTACTAAGATTTATACCAATGGATTAAAATAATTGAACTACCAGTTATTCATCAAGTGACTGATGAAGCAGTGTGAGGCTTTATTTAAGGGTATGTCTTCAGCTGGTCTGAAAAGAACTTCTGAAGCTGATGTGTTGCTTGATGATGATGTTTGCATCATGACAAAGAGCAGCACTTTGGTATCTTTGTTTGAGGGTGCTGTTTTCTGTGTCAAAAGTATGGGCATAAGATTTATTGTAATTTAAGACCTTTTGATAGATTAAAACAAGTGTAGCAGCACTGAAAAGTAGCATCTGTGGCAGGAAACATTGTAGCTGGTGCATAGAAATAAATAAGCATACTATGAATACAGATGTACTGTTTCGTAATGTGCATCTGTACATTAATAATAAATAAAATTATTGTAATATATGTAACCAAATGTTAACACACTGCTCAGGAAAAGTTAAACCTGTTAAACCCCTCTTTTTTTTTTTTTCTCTCTCTCTAGATACATCATTTTTACAAAGTTTGAGCACCAAATCGCACCTGCTACCAAAAGCTGACCCAAATGCCTCTAAAGAGCATGAATGTAAGATAACCAACAACAATGAAACTGTCAAAGTAGAAAGGTTTTTGGAACTGCACATGAAAAAAATTCTATCTCCAGTGCCTCCCATCAAAACAGCAACAACAATTGACTCTAAAGATTCAGCACATTTGCTCCCTGGACCTGTTCATTTGGTGAAGGAAATGGACAAAACTGAAACAAAAGCTCTTGTCAGGTTGGTCCTATCTATTTAATTTTCAGCCTAATTATGAGGATGAGAGGTCTCTGTGTTGTCATCTAGCTCTGTCTCCGCCATGGCCATCTTTTCGGCTTTAGTCTACTCAGTTATAGCCAGAGTTTCTTCTTTTGAAAAATGAAGACGGTGGTGTTGGTTATCACTCACAGCCTTTAGCTCTTTGAAGGACTTAATCAAAATACTTTTAGATAAACTATTTCAGTGGAGATAGAACAGTGTTGTCATCTTCCTGATAGAGCTAGGTTTTTGAGAATCAGTGTGTAACATCTACATAAATGCTACACCATCAGTACCAACTGCAAAGTACTGTATTAGTGTCCTCATTGAACTAATTGCCTCTAACCTAGGTTTTCTTCATATGACTTATTTTACAGCGGCTTTTACACAGACCTTGTGAAAGAGGACAAAACTCTCATCTCTCTTGGCAGTGTGTTGGCTGTCCTAGATAAAATACTTAAGAAGGAGGTAAACTGCTTTGATCTTGGGGGTGGAGGCTGGGAGGAGAGTTGGATTCCTCTGACTTTTTTCTTCTACTATATTATTGTCCAGATATTAGTTACTATGTAGTTCACAGCCCTCCTATCCTCAGCTAGAATGTGCTTAGCTACAAGAGTATGCAAGATGAGAAAAAATTAGTTAGGGATCATGGTTAACCCAAAGACATCTTTCTAATGATCTTTGGGCAAGACATTGTCCAGCTTTTCTGCAGTCACAGCATATGAGCCAGTAAGAACCTTCTCATCACTCTCAGACATACAGGAGAGCCAGGCATTCACTTTTCCAGCTGCGGGGAACAGAAGCTGGTGTATCAAGTTTTAGTGAGCAGCAGCAAGAAATCTGAACAAGAAATGTAAAAAATTTTCCTATTCCAATGCACAGTTTTGCCTCCTGTTTTTAGAGGAGATTTTACTTCTGCATTACCTTTCATGACAAGATGCCATGCTATGTGCAGCTGCACCCATTTACCATTATGTGTACAACAGTTTACTCAAAGTAAATTTTGATTTACACATGCACACACCCCCTGCCAGTTAGTGTAGCTGTAAAAACCCCACTGTATGCTGTGATTCTGAACAGAGTAATTCCAGCTCAGCATTCTGATTCTTGCAGGGTCAGGAATGCAGAGAAGGCAGGCTGGGAGGGTGCATGTTTGCATTTATGTATAAAAGCATGGAGAAGCAAAGAAGAAAAACTGCAAACAAGAATATTTAATCATAATAAATTAGTCTTTCCCTTTGAATAAAAAACTCTTTTTAAAGTACCAGGCCAGCAAGGAAGAGTAACTGTCAGAATGGCCTCTTTCTTGTAAGCCACCTTCTTGGTGTTGGAAGTGACATATGTAGATCTCAAGTACAAACTTCTAATGTTATAGACAGCTCATACCTCCAGGAAAGACTACAAATAGACAAAAAAAAAATATTAAAAATTACAGACATAAAACTTCCCATGAGCTGCAGAAGCTAAACTGAGCTTTTTGTGTTGACAAATACAAAGAGGAGGAGTGAGCAGAGGGAGCACGCATTATCTTTTTACTTAGCTTTCATATAGAGTTCAAAGCACTATACAACATAAATGAAACCTGAAAGGTTGAGTGAGTAATACTGCCACTGGATTTTCTGGGAAGGATTAGCTTGCCTAGGCTAAAGGAAGAGTCAGAATTAGAATTCAGGGATGACCTCCTTTTCATAGGGTGTATTTTTCTGGTGCAGTTTGCCTCCTGGCACACTGAGTGTATCAGTCTGCAGACTGTCTAAGAGAACCAGTAAAGATGACCTTCTCCTACAAAAGCTATTTTTACAGTTGCCTTTTAGCACAGCACCATACTTCTGAAGTAACAGAACAGCTCTTGGCATAACAATCAAATATGGCCTTTCTTTAGAAAATGAACTATTAATGTTTTCTTAATCCTACTGTGATAGGTCATTAAGATTCCTTTCGTACAATAACTTTGTTAGAATGTTACATCTAAACAAGTGAAAATACAGTTCTTACAAAAGGCATCATCTTGTGCAGCATTAACTCTGAATGAGAAATCTATTTTGCAGGTATGCAATGGAATTGCAGTATCCCCCACTGCTGAGTCTGTTGCTGTTGCACTAAGACATTCTGTTCGGTTTGGATTTCAAAGGTGAATTTGTATCTTTTGCATTTGGGGATCTTTGACAAAATGTAAAAATAAGATACTGGGTGTTTGAAATAAGACAAACAGCCTTTGAAACTTTAATTTTAAAACAAATAGCATCTCCATATGCAGAGCATTTTCAGTATGTGGTTTAGGCAATATTGTAAATGCCAGCAAAACTCATTTGCCTTACCAAAGGCAAAACATTTGTAAGGATGAATGCCGTGCTAGCCGACATTTTCCTTGTCAGATTTTGATTGTCTTTGGTCTGAGGACATTTTCTTGGTTTCATTTTTTCTCAAAAGCATTTGGTGGGAGAAAAGAACTTCCCTTGAGCTGTCATAAATGTTTTTTATTTTGTACCAAATGGTACAAATGGAGCAAATTCAGAAGCAATATACATTATTTTTACATAATCTAGATGCAAACTCTTTAAACAAATTGCACTGATAGGAAAAAAAAAAAAACCTTGTGGATGTAAATGTATGGGGTTCTTTTGTTTTGTTTTCTGCAGAGTGCTTTGTATATTTGTTGGAGACGTGCAAATCATACCGAACACAGAAGATGGGTGAGGTTTCTCTTTACTTCATAGAATCGTAGAATGATTTGGGTTAGAAAGGACCTTAAGATCATCTAGTTCCACACCCCTGCCATAAGCAGGGACGCCTCACACTAGACCATGTCACCCGAGGCTCTGTCCAGCCTGGCCTTGAACACCGCCAGGGTTGGAGCATTCACAACTTCCTTGGGCAACCTATTCCAGTGCCTCACCACCCTCACTGTGAAGAACTTCTTCCTTATATCTAACCTGAACTTCCCCTGTTTAAGTTCAAAGCCATTACCCCTTGTCCTACCACTACAGTCCCTAACAAAGAGTCCCTCCCCAACATCGTTATAGGCCCCCTTCAGACACTGGAAGGCTGCTATGAGGTCTCCATGCAGCCTTCTCTTCTCCAGGCTGAACAGCCCCAACTTTCTCAGCCTGTCTTCATACGGGAGGTGCTCCAGCCCTCTTATCATCCTCGTGGCCCTCCTCTGGACTTGCTCCAACAGCTCCATGTCCTTTTTATGTTGAGGACACCAGAAATGGACACAATACTCCAAGTGAGGTCTCAAAAGAGCAGAGGGGCAGGATCACCTCCTTTGACCTGCTGGTCATGCTTCTTTTGATACAGCCCAGGATATGGTTGGGTTCTGGGCTGCAAGCGCACACTGAAGCTGGCTCATGTTCAGTTTCTCATCAATCAACTTCAGGGATTCCAGAGGCTTTATAAATGTTCATGAGTGTCCATATGTATGATGAAATCTACACTAAGGAATCAGTCATGAGCTGATGGTCACTAAGTTTAGCATGAGACAAAATACAGAACATCCCCAAATATATCTCTGAAGACAAACTGCTATCTCTAAATGCCACTTTAAGATTTAGGTTTAAAGAATAATCCCTGTATATTAATTGAAAATTAGATTGTTATTGAACACAGAATTTTGAAAATATAAAGTAATAAAGAAGACATGTAATTTGCCCTAATGTAATAACTAACATTATTGTTAGTATCAAATTGTATGTAACAGAAAACTGAAACCCCCGGAGATTTGGTAGTGGCCTAAGGCTGACATCATATCAATTCTCAAAATTAAATAAACATCCCGAGGCAATAGCCACAGTCTGTCTCGGTTTGCAGCATTCCAGGTTCTGATTTAGGGCTTATTTTTAAAAGCACTTCTCTGTGTGATAGGGATTTCAATAACACAACTTTTTAATTTCAAACACTAAAATAACTAAAAGCCATGTGCACAGTCTTCCTATAACTGCAGGGGGCACATGCTGCTGATGCAGAGTTCCTTATTGGAAGTAATTTTCACTTACCTATAACTTTTTTTTGCCACTTCCCCTTTTTCTTAAAAGTAATCTGCCCATAGTTTTCAATACTCCTTTTTAAAAAATACCTTAAAAATTATTTCTGTTTTAATTAGTGTTTACATTAAGGCATGTAGTAATGCAAATAGTTACTTGCTCCTGTGTTAGGAATTTGTATTTAAACAATGATGAAAGAAAAGATCTTTTTTTATCTCTTTGGAAGTTGTTGGTTAAATACTCAGATGCGAGTTTTATTTACAGAAAAATACTCATGATACATATTTGTGAGAAAGAGCAGTCTGGAAAGCCCAGCTCCAAACACTATATTTCTCTAAACTGGAAAGAGGTAAGATTCACTTTCTGGACAAAACATTAGAGAAAAAAAGAAATAATAGAATATGTTTACAGATTCATAAAATGTCACTGAGAATCACACTTCTCACTGCAATTTGGACCTTTGAAAATACTTCATTTTCTCGCCCTTGCCAGGGTACTACTCCTTCACAGATCTTTAGAATATATTAGAATGCATAAGGCTGTGGAAACCTTCAGTAGCTACTGCGGTTCATCTTCAAGAAGCAGAATTACAGTATGAAGTCACTAAAGAAAAGATGAACAATCTGCATGTTTAATGTAAAAATTGCTGTGAAAATAGATCAGTGTCCCATTTCCTAGGTCAATCAAAAGCTTTTTGAGATTCACCTTACTGTTCGGTTTATATCTGGGAATTTAAGGCTTCACATTTGTGCTAAAGAGTTTCTCATTGTTGTTAAAGGATGCCAAAGGAAATGACTTCTTCTCTGCTGTACTTGGAGTCATTCTTCCTGTAGCATACAGTTACCAACCGAACTTGACAGTAATAGCTGTTGGACCAAACAGGAGCCTTGGAATAAGTGGGATATCTCTGCTTTTTGCTTTGCTACAAGGATTAGCTGAGTCTCGCATTTTTGCAGTGATCGAGGTAAGAAGTAGTGATAAGCTGTGGTATTTTAAAGTGGCTAGGGCAGAACTGAAATCAAGCAACAGCACACTTGGTATGAGCTGCTTCCAGGCAGCCTAGTAGAAAATACTGGCTGTATCTATACTGCCTTTGGTACCCCTGAGTTCATGAGGCAAATAGCCCAGATTTCTTTCTGTCCTGAGAACAAGACATAGCTGAGTACTGAGCAGTAGGCAGCCTGCACAACTGAGAAGCTGAGACATGACTGCAAGCCCATAGTTATGTCTATGGACAGTAGATGTTCTGACAATTTTGTACAACTTCCCTTTCCACCTGGGATGCATTCCTCAGAGTTGTCTCCTGAAAAGGGATGCTCGTGTCTGTTAATTGTACGGCCTCTTTCCATGAAATGTGACTGTAAGCAGCCCATAGGCCTGATATCATAAACCACTAGATTTCTTCTTCTCTCCCCCATGCTGTACTTTATGACACACAATTTCAATTATGCAGAAGGTAAATCAGAATGGTATATATCCTTTAAGTGGCCTTAACTGCCATAATATGTAACTGAGTCCCAATGTACCCCAGCTTTGTGTTTCTGGTAGAGAGCATGACAAAGGAAATGAAGAATAATCTTTCCCTAGTCTAGTTTTTCCATACATTACCACATTAAAGATTTCTAAATCTAGGAAGTCGGAGGCTGTATCCAGACCTGTGTGTGATAAGTGCCAGTGAGCATATCTTCCATGAATTTATCTAATCTCTTAAAGAACTCAGTTTACACTCTTGGCCTCTGCAGCATCCTGTGGCTGTGAGTAACACAATTGCTCTGTGTGTTCTGTGAAACAGTAACTTTTGATTGCTTTTGTGCCTTCTAGCTCTTCTTTAATGAGAAACAACAAATAATTGTTCATATATACTTATTCTAATCTGTTCCCCAGCAAGTATCCACTTAAAGATACACTATTCATTTAGCTGCCAGTTAAGTGGGTTTTGACATACTTAACTCTGTAGTCTTCTCAAATGTCATTTGTTTTAATTTGCATTGCTGATATGTAAATTGTCCAAGCTACAATAATTTGTACATTGATTGATATGCAGTATACATGAATAGTTTATTTGCACATTACTAATTAGGAATATGAAATAGAATTATTGGTATTCTAAAGGGAAACTCGGAGATGAAAAAGAAGCTAGGCATGCATCATTACAAAATTACTGGTACTTTCATATTGGTACTCTGCAGGTAGCTCTGTAACAAGTTTATGTAATGTTTGGGGAGTTTTTAATGCATATGTTTGGCTTTTTAGAATAATTGAAAAAATCCTTCTGTCTCTTAAAAATAAAATAGAGTTGCAGTCTTCCAAATTAATTTTAAATAATCTTCACATGCTATCGACATTGCAGAATAGAATTTCTGTGAGCCAATGGTATTGATTTAGACTGTCAGGAGTCCAGAAAAGTCACTTCTTGATGAAGGAAAATATATCACTATTTTCTACCTATAGAAAGTAAATGATGCACAAAATAAACAAGCTCCATGGTCCCCTTCCTGCCTAACATTTTCTGTCTTTAACCCAGCATTATTTCTTTTCAGTCACTAAAGGAAAACTGAGATTCTTTCTCTAACTGGAAGAAATAAATTTTACAGGAGATAGATAAAAAATAATTTACCTTTTTCAGTAAAACTTCTCCATTTTGACACATTTTTGTTTGAAAAAGGAAAGTTGCTCATTCTTGCTACTAATACTAGCAACTTAATTACAAAAGCTTGTTTTAAAGTATTCCATGTATTACTAAACCAAAGAAAGTTTGGTTACCAGGAGTGTTTGTTTTTCGTCTTAAATAGGATACGGAGATAAACTTAATACAAAGTGTAGCCAAAGCATTAGCAGGTACTTCTACGCCTCACTTTGGAGTTTTTGTACCTCCTACCCAGGAAAAAGTAAATAAAATAAAAATATTAAGAGTTTTCAGGAATGGAAAATGCTTCAGTGTTCAGGTAAGTTGTCTGGTTTTATCTTTAGATATGCAAGTTTCTGAAAAGATGGTAAAATAACAGCTGGATCCTGTTAGTCAGTGAGCTATTAAAGTCGGTGGGAACAATTGATCTAATGTGAAAAGCATGAAATTATTAATGCTTTTAATTCTGCCACTTCAGCCAGAAAGCACCAAATGTCACAGCACAGTAAGTGTACCCTTGTGGACTTTGAAGTGTGTTACTTCAAAATCTTGAAATGAAACTACCAAAATGTTGAGTGCTTAAAGAATTATTAGTAAGATGTGAGATGTGCACTGGCTCAGATTTCTAATGTGTTTTCTGAATATAGTGCCAAATCAGATGACACTTTCATGCATTTATCCTGTCCACAAATAACTTCACTGAACTCAGTAGTGATTAGTCATGCTGAGGATCCTGCATTTGTGCAGGAATCAGAGAAACTTTGTTTTTCAACAGAAAAAGCAATGAAAACAGTGAATTTTTAAAGTGAAATTTTAAAGTAAAAAAGATAAAAGTAAAAAATGATAAAAGTGAAATGATAAAAATGATAAAAGTGACATGATAAAAGGGAATTTTCTTTCTCTGAAAGAAAATGCCCTTGTCTCTTTCAGGAGAAATGGCCAAAAGCAGTGTTCTCGTTCCAATAAAGATGTTCTTATGGGGTTGGGAATTGGAGTATGAGCTTTGATTAATAACTATTTTCTTATTGGTCTTTTCAGTGAAGGATGGGATTTCAAGAAATTGACTTCAGAATCATTTCACACAGCAGAAGAAAATGTGCTGCTGTTCATCTTGCCTTTTAAATCATCAGGAAAAGAGATGGTCAATCTCTAAACACAATGAGAGTCATTTGCAATTGTCTGCTGTTTTAAAAACGTTTAAAATGAGTATTTTCAGCTGGAGAACTCTGTTTGCAGATTCTCTATTGGCACTAGTTATTTGGGACTGACACCTGAATCAACTCTCGTACTTCATGACTGCAAACTGGGGCCTGTGTTATTTGTGACATTGTAAAGCAGGCTTGCATATGCAGGAGCTTGTCTCGAGTTCAAGAAGTCCAGAAGACAGGCATCTGAAAGGAGCAATCATAACAGCCAAAACATTTTATACTATTCAACATTATACCAGAGTGCTTGCACTGCTGCCACCACCACCACTTCATTGGGAGTTTAAGCTTAACAACAGGTCTGTCAGAGTGTGACATTTTATTTCATAATCTGATATACAGATTCACCTAACATTGTCTAGTCTTTTAATTTTTCTAATGGGTAGTTGTCAATTCCAAAAAGAAAGCAGCTGAACAGCTACAGTGTGTGCATGTCCTACATCACACTTGTGATGATAATGGTCATGGGCATGAGAGAAAAAAGGAAAATTGCATTTATAAAATTACATAATTGAATAGAGCAGTGTAGAGGGGACTTCACTCACCCTCTTTCCAAACAGAAACTGTTTCTGTAACACATAAAACCCCCAAGCCCCCAGAGATTTGGTAGCAGCCTAAGAGTGGGATCGTGTCAATTCTCAACATTAAAGAAACATCCTGAGGCAATAGCCACAGTCTGCTTTGTTTTGCAGCATTCCAGATTGTGATTTAGGGCTCATTTTTAAGAGCACTTCTCTCTGTGATTGGGACTTTGATAATGTGGCCTTTTAATTTCAAACACTTAAAATTATGTTTATATTGGTGTTGCTGCTGGGATCAACTTGACATTATTTTAGTAACTAAATCTGTCTTTGCAGTTCTCTGTTCTCAGTGATACCCTTCTCGTTGGTACTGCTTTTCAGTTACTGCTGGATGGGAACTTATACCCAATCCTTGAACATTTTGAAATGAAAGTCTGTTTCAAAAGAATTTAAAAGCCATGTCAAGCATTTTCACAAACAAAAGTTGAAGAACATGAAGATGTTCTGCTTCAGTTCAGAATTTCTTTAAAGTCAACTTCAAATTCCAAAAACTACTTTAGATTGAAAACTGTGCAATGGCAAACTTCAGCTTCAAAATTTTTCAGAACAGATTTTTCTTTTGTTTATTCTTCTC